CCGCCAGGAGCCAATCCGCGGCGCGAGGAGGCGGGCCTGCGGGTTAGGCTGTGCCGCCCTTGCCCACGCGGCGCGCGCGCATCCACCTGGCGGCGCTGCTGGGGTCGCAGCGCCGCATGCCTCGGCGCATCCACCTGGCGGCGCGGGGGCGCGGTGGGCTGCAGGCCCCGGGCCGGGGGCTGCTGGGAAGAGGGAGCGGGGAGGCCGCGGGGGATGGGGCCCGCAGGGTGGTCGGAGCTCCGGCGATAGGGGCGCCGCGGAGAAACGGGGCAGGGGTCTGCAGTGGTGCTTGGAGAGCGGGAGGGTTGTGGGGTGTTGAGGTCGGAGGAGCGCGGAGGATGCTCGCAGGATTGGGGCTGCGGGGGGAAATGTTCCTAGTGAATCACTAGGGTCCAAAGAGAAAGGGGTGGGGAGAACCTGGCCACCTTCTCCTTTTATCACTACGGGGGTGCGGGGAAGGAGGCGAGGGACTAGGGGCCGGGGACTTGGGGGCGTGCGCCAGAGGGAGGTGGGCCCGGGGCAGAGACACGGCCCCATGCCGCTGGCGGTGACCTAGTCCCGGGGACCCGGGAGGCTGGTGAATGCCTCTCAGACCTGCGGACCTGCGCCGTCATTGCAGCCTGGGTTTCTTCTTTGAGAGCACGGGTACCTCCCTTCCCCATCTCTCACCAAGCCTTGTATTTTAATTATTTATTTATTTTTACACGCCGCCATGTTGTGTGGACGTCGAATGCTTTTCTACCTATCACTGCCTGGTACTCCATCAAAGCACTCTGAGCCAATAAAGATTTATTGAGTCCCTAGGAGAACGAGGGCATAGCAGTGAACAGGCAGAAACAGCCCCTCCTCTCTGGAGTCTGTTCCTTACTGGGCAGAGACAAACAAGCGAACAGATTAATAACTGGGTGGTGGTAAGTGCTGTGAGGAAGATGAAATGGACCGTAGCCTGGAGGGATGGAGCGGCGACAGGCGGTTCCTTCAGCTGGATGGCCGCCAAGGTACTAGCAGAATTCTTAGCAAGAAAGCCCTGAAAAGGGGATGCAAGGGAGAAGCATCTGGGGTGGAGCAAGGTGACACCCTCTTGGTCTGGGTACCAGGAGGTGGGACGCAGGGCAGGATACAGAGCAGGTGGGAGGCTGAGCTGGCATCTTCTGGGCATAGTGTTCAGCCAGCCATCACACATGACCATGGCAGCCTTCCAGGAGTGAGACTTTTCCTCTGCCTCCTCCATCCCACAGGGCTTCTCCTCCTGCTCAGATACTCACTCGGAACTGCACAGGGGAAACATTTCCCCTTACCCAGGTGGGCAGTAGACCAAGCCAGGAGAGTCCCTTGTTATCAAACGGCAACATGCACACTTAAAACAAGAAGCAAAGAAACATGCGTAATTTTCAAACAGAAACAGCAGCGGCCTCTGCTGAACATGATGCTATCGTCTAAACCAGAAGCAGGCTAGTCCTCTCTCCAGAAGAGACTGAATGAAAGCTTCGTATCGCTTTATTTCATTCATCTTTGCGTGACATCCATTCTAGCTGAGACACACTTGCAGAGAGTGT